GAAACCTGTCTGTAACATGACATCACAATGAATAATCGAACTTGAAACATACAGAGATGGAAGAAATCATGAAAAGTAAATCATGGCTATGGAGATGCTTCTGTCTCCACGAATGAGTATGAATGAATTTCAAGTTCTTTATTACTCAGAGCAGAAAAGATCACAATGGAATGTAATGAAATGTTTGTAATGAAATGTGATGAAAATTCATTACAATGGAATGCTAGAAAAGAACAATTTCTAACAATGGTACTTTACTAGTCGTAGTATTGGATCCAGTCACTACTCTTCAGTTCTGATGTACGACCTTCTACCAAAGTTACATGACAATGCCACAAATGTTACATGACAGTAAGCTTTTGGGACAATTAAATGGATAAAACTTCAATTTCCTGCATAAAATCTGAAATTTGAAATTTAGACTTTTTATAATTTAAAAAGGCAAAATTTAAAATAACCCAAAACAAAAGCTAACAGAATTGGCCAAGCATATAACACTGAACCTTACATTTATACAGTGCTTCTATATATAAGAATGACTATGAAACTATCTTTTTGTAGCCATTTTTTCCCATAAAACTAATAGTCACTGCTAAAAGGGCTGCTCTCAACTTAGCAGACACTTTTCCTCAAATATTCTAGACATCAAAACGAACAGTAGCTGTCAAATTCTTACTGCATAATCTACAATGGTAATCCATTACTGTATTTCGTTCGTAATAAATCTCTGTGATAAGGTTAACATGTCAAACACAGCACAAATAAGAGAGCACCAAAAAATGAAAATTACTTTGCTTATGTTTCAGTATTAGAATTTTATTTGCTAAAGGGTAAAAACAGATTTGCAAAATTCACAGTTAACTTAAAACAATAGTTTTAAACCTTTATTCCTAGTCCTTACTGCCTTCAGGAAGGAAAGAACATCTGGTTATTTAAGGAACACAATATGTTCACATTTTCTATGACTTTTGTTTCTAATTGGGCTTTAAAATTTTTTTTTCTTTGCATTTGAACAACTAGCTAGAACAATGTTTTTTAATCACTTCATATTTTTCAGACTGTCCTCTTTCTATCCCTCTAAACTTTATTGGATTGTTTTTGGAAATCTGCTCAGTAGTTCTAATATGATAAAGGAAAGGCAATGAGGATTAGGCTTGTGGTCTGAAGAGCTAGATACAGAAACCATTTTTACCGTGTTCAGAGAACAGCATGCTACAAATGGATACTTTACATTCACTCTGGTCATGAAACACACATTTTCAAGTTCCGAGGAGTTCTTAGGTCACTTATATACATGGTAGTTTCATTTTTTTTTTTTTTTGCAGTGACATGCCTATTATGAATAGAAGAATTTGTAGAGAAATACATAGGTAGGATACCACTGTCTTTAAAATCACCTAAACTACTCTACGTCTTGTATGGAAATGTGATCCAGATGGAGTCGCTGACTCTGCTGTGATACGGTATCCGTCCTTTTAATAAGGCTTTAATACTCAGCTGGATTCTCACTAGGTCACTTATGAAAGGAGGACACTGCACTACAGACTGTCTAGGTTCTTTGTAGTTCTGAGACTCTGATACAATGAGTGAAGTACATGAGCTAGATTCTTTGTGATGTCTTCCCTGTTCCTAATCCTTGAAGGTTGTAATAGATTTTTAAATAATTCTGACTGATAGCAAATTAGGGGGTTAGCTACCCTTTAAGTTCAAAACATGGGGTAGTATCACCAAATGATAAAATGGCAGATGAAAATATTCCTTTGGTTTTAGTGGAATATGGATATGGGTTCCAGAAATATTCTCAATGAATGAGGACCCTCTAGATTAAAGTCAGTGCTGTATATTGGAAAAAGGTGTTGTGTTTGAATTAGAATTCCATTCTATCACTCTTGATACCAAGCACAGCAGGACACAAAGCCACACGCTAAAAGAAAAAATTAAATTAAAAAATCAAATGCGCAGGATTCAAGCGCTAAGGAAGAGTGACTGATCAAATATGCAAATAGATAACATGCAAGATGTTGTGAGGACTCAAAGGAGAGGACACATCCTAGCTGAACCCGGAAATGATGTCACAAAGAAGGAAGAATGGATGCCAGCAATCTGAAGAGGGAATGAACTGACCGAAGAGTTATAAAGCCACCACTGTTCACGTGGAAACTTACAAACTTTCAGACTTTGAGAAAGCCACATAACCTTAAACTCTACCCAAAAAGAATGAGGAAAGACAACCTTCTCTGACTCTGCATAGAGTTGCTGCTAGGACCAAATTAAAGACGGCAAAGTGCTCAGAAAACTGTGTTGGAGTCTGCTCCTACTATTACTTACAGTCCATAGGTCCATTATTTCAGTGTTTCCACAAGAAAGCCTACCTCTGATAGAAAATAAGTAAAGCTTAATGTCTCAAGGTCTACTAGTAGAATCTATCCTCAACTGAGATGTCTCTACAGGGTTTTAGGAATGATAGTAGGACAAAGTGCTTTTCTGAGGGCTGACAATGAACTTAGTAAGGTTTAGAGTTCTCAGTTCATTTTTATTTTATTGAATCTGTCAGCAGCACTCAACATTACTGTTGTAAGAAGCTGGGACATGGGGAAACTGCTTTCATGTCTCAAATATCGTCTTACTGCTAGTTCACTTCATTGAAGACTGATTCAAATGTTTTAAGTATTTTACTGTTGCATTTCAAGCACTGTGAGGTCTAGATTTCTGGAGGATCATCTTTCCCTCTCTTTTTTCCTCCTCGGCACAAATGGTTTCTTTTGCGACTAAAACAGAAATAAACTACAATGATATTTCTTCCCATTGGTGGATTTCTAAAACATAACTTTATTTTTTCACTTGTACCTTCGTAGCACTGGACTAGATGTTTTAGTTCACTGGAGGAGGTCAGTACTTTACAAATGACGTTCTGCTTGGGCAAATGTGACAAAAGAGAGCCTCAAGGTTTAGCCAGCATGATATTGCCAAAGTAATGAGGATCGTTGGTGGCAGAGCCAAGCTTGACCCAGGGTCCCAATTCCTTGCTTGCAAAATGCTATGCTGCCCCAGACCTACATCAGCACATGTGCCAAGTGACATAGGATATTACTTAAAATTCATTAAATGAGATCAATGGCCAAGCTGTTATTCACACTTGATTATAACTACCACTTTGCTGGATTAGACATCTCCAAGCTCCTTAAAGCCACACAGCTTTCTTTATCTTTTGTAGATAGATATCATCATGAATGTGCTCTCATGTAACCTTGTAAACATGACTCCCCCATCCTCCTCAATTTCTTATGTTTCAGAAACATCAGGTTAAGGTCCTACATTTTATATATTATCTTGACTGCATGTTCAATGGGTAAGACTTTTAATGTAAAGGTGGTGTATCATCCTTTACACAGAGGTATGCTATTACCTCCTATTAAACCTCAAAGAATCTATATTTTTAACACTTACAGAATTTGCTTCATTATATACTTGATGATGTATACTATTTTATCAGGAGGTAAAAAGCACTTTAGTATAAAGAATTCTGGAACTGGATGAGTGAATCATAGGAAGAGCTACTGTATTCAACTAGGAAGAAATTACCAAGATAACAGGTTTTGAGAACCTATTCATTTCTCTCTTCAATTAAATCAAACAAACCACACAGAGACTATAACATCTATTTTAGCATTTTTTTTCATTCTGTATAGATTTCTAATACTAACCTGATGGAATTTGTCTTGAGTTTGTAGATCAAAACTCACACTGCCTTGACCAGCAACCTCATTCTTTACGTAAGTATTTCATCACCTTGGTGGGGATTTTTTGGGTAAAAAGTACTCATACAACTTGTATACATATATGTGCATAAAAACATAAATAAGGAATTTTAGATTATCATAGTCAGACTCTTCAACCTTACCAGAAAAAAAAAAACAAGGTTCCTTAAACATCAGAGAAATGATGGATTATATTTTTGAATGCTTAATATTTCTTTGTGTAACAGAAATGATTTTGCAGAAACCAGATACATGCACAAGAAAATAAATTCTTTTAACTCAATCAAAAAGTAAATAGAGGATATGCTCAAAAGTTGAGTTCAACAACCAAGAGAAGGGCAGTAATCCTTTAGCCTCAAAATTTACATTAAGCTTGGAGGCCCTAGTTGATCAGCCAGAGCTTTGGCAGTGGAATCCACAGACAGACTGACTGACTCAGAGATGGCTTGACAATTGCCAATGTGACTGTTGGGGTGATTGCCAAGAAGCCAAAGGCTTGGATTACCATCCAGTGCCTGGCATTCAAAACTCGTGTTTGAAGCATTCTCTCTTATACTTCAGCCAATATTTTTGTTTGGCTCAAAAGTAGCAAGGATTCACAGATTTTTTAAGATGATTAAATGTTCGTATTTTCAAGAAATATAACATTAGTTGTAAAAGAGCACACTTTTTCTCTGAAGTGTAAAGAAATCACTTTACACTCAAATCGAGAAATCAGTGTTAAAGTTTGTTTAAGTCTTAATTTTATTAGGTTACCCTAAGCCCACAAAATAAGAAATACATATTTATAATATGAAATCAATCAATATTTCATTGAATCACCGACTTCTACAGAACTGGTCCTTCGTACAGATCTACTTTCTTGCTCTTCACATCGCTCCTGAAGCTTTACTTGGATAAGTCATCCCTGTTGAGGGTCCCAGTAAGAATAAAGTGTGGCTACAAGGAGAGGTGGTTGCTCAGTTCTCTCCTTGCTTTAGGAGGGAGGCAGGACAGCAGGACAGCCCTCTGGGGGACAAGAGACGTGTGTTCTAGTTTACCACAGCAGTGTCCGCTTTATCTGTCTGCAGACTAGCTGGCTGACGATGGGAGTAAGTTTTGGCCTCCATTCTTAGGCAAATTTTAGCATTAGGGAATCTATCTGCCATTAGGCAATACTGCTTTTGGAATCCTTAAACACATACAGAGAAGCCTAGTTTGCACCCAACTTGAAATTACGCATGCCTTATCAAGGAAGCTTACCTTCGGGTCTCTAAGGAACAGAGCCTTAAGGATTAGCGAGTGCACATCCCCGATGAGTGGGTAATGCATCAGAAGGCCGAGGCAGGTCTGGTAGTTGCTGGAGATCACTAAACAAGAAGGAAAAGTAACTCAGCTGCAGCACTGCTTAAGGTGTCCTGCAATACTAAGAGAATAAAAATCACAACTTAAAGCCAAAGAAAGCAAAGCAATAATTCAACTGATTGGATAAAAAGAAGGAAGGAGAAGGGATCCTTACCAAAATGGCCTTTGAAGCAGCTCACTGTACCGCTAACTGCAATCTAATATACTAGCACTTATCCTCAGGGGGTGCTGGAGGGAACAGCTTCACATACAGATATGTGCGCACGTTCGCAATATAAATAAATTCTCAGAAACATGCATATTTATTGCCATTTATATGGCTGCGTTTAAATGTCTCCAGTTTTGCTGCTTAGAAATTAGTAACAAAAACCTTATGAAGGAGAAAGAACCAGTTTAGAATACTCATAAAATAATATTTACCTTGATTACTATGCTTTAAAACATATACAGTTATTCTTTTATATATAAATATTACATAATTAGAAATTTAAAAATATAATTTCCTCCAATTATTTGTTTTTCTAAAGGTAACAAGAAATTTGGAGAGGAAATATCTATGCAGCATTTCTTGGAGGAAAAAAATGTCAAAATCTTCATAGATAAGTTCCACAGACTGTCATTTAATTTTTTTAAAATCAGCCTAATTATGGGCACAATTATTAAAAACATGTTTCCAGGCAGGTCTATGTAAACGACTTCACTGCTTGGCAGTCTATGCACCACTGCCGTCACAGTTGGGCCCCTCACGGTGCCGGCTGTGTGAGCACACAACTGCCTCCATGGCGCTGGCTAAGACGAAACTTTACAGTTACAACTTCCTGTGCTTGCGACCAATGCCTTTTCATTCACCAGTTCTTTGAAAAATGTTCCACAGGAAAACAACCGTGAGTCAGTAGAAACAACACGAACCACAAAAATAAACAATTATTTGTAATCAGAAATACCGTTGAATCTTAAGACTTTCTTTCTCCTGTTGAAAAAATAAATCCTTCCTGTAGCTTCTCACTCCCTTCTCTCCACCCATGAGTACTATGGCAGGAGGAGACAAGACTGGGCAAAATGAGTAATTATAATCGATGTAAGGAACCACTTTATCATCTTCATTTCCACTGCCGATCTGACAGCTTGTAATTTCATACATCTGCTTTCATTTGTAAAGCATTCACTTATCCTACCCTTTCCAGTTCTTTTCCAGATCCCTCCACATTCTTTTTATTTGCTCTCTTTTGCATATATACATTCAGTGACCTGCTGTCCTTTTGTCTCTAGAAATTCAAAAGGCTTGGATACTGAGAGCAGTGCAATGGTTTCATGTTGTAGTTTACTTTGAGTTTTAACAAGTGAACAAAATTGGGATAATCAATATGACTTACAAATCAAGAAGTGATTTTTCCAAATTCTATAATGATTATCATTTAGAAACTGACCACAGAAGACTCTTTACATAGTTTTGTAAGAGAGGCAGGAGAGTTTTGTGGGAAGGGTTTTGGGCTCAGTACTCAGACGTGGATGTGAACCTGGGGTCCCATTTACATTTTTCAAAAAGTCACCTGAAGATAATCGGTGTGACTGACTCCCAGCAGCTGTTCCAAGGCTGTGCGAACAACCTCTGCAAGCAGAGGTTTAGTCAACTGAAAAACAATTTTCTGATGAAAAATAATAAATACTTGCCTGCCTCACTCAATCCAATAGTTATGTGTTGAGTACTTAATCATGACAGGCCCTGTGCTAAAAGGGGATGTAGAGAAGACAGCACAGTCCTGGCTGTAAGGAAAATCAAACCCCAGAGGGCAGATGTGCAACACCTCACTTAGCTACTGCGACCACTTCCGCTACGATGACAATGAATTCCTGACGGCTCTGGCCAGGCCCCAGGCGAATCACTTTACCACACCACCTCATTTAATTTCTATGACAGTCTTTACATGAAGGTTCAATAATTATTACAGATGCAAAACTTGATGTTGGGAGATACTGTTACTTGCCTAGGTTGCACAGTGATTCCTTGGTGGAGCAGGCACTGAAATTCAGAAAGCTAGCTGAAGGGTCCACGGTCTAGCTAATATACGGTTGCGTTTTGAAAGGTCATTGTTTTGAAAATCAATGACATAATGGATGTAAATAATACTGTAAATAGTAAAGTCCATTACTACTATTACTGTTATGTAGTAGTTTTAAATAGCCTGGATGGTTAGCAGAACTTACTGTGGAATAGCCTGATATATGTATCTGGAGTGACCAAGTAACAATTCTATGTTATTACAACTTGACAGAATTTTGGAAGCTATCAGAAGCTATAAATATACAAGGCAAGCCAAATATGAATTATGTATTAATATTCTACTAGCAAACAAATGAAGGAGTTAACATTCATCCTTCCGTCCTTCCTTCCATCCATCCATCTATCCATCCAGTCAATGCTTGCAATATTTCTTGAGCATCTATTAAATGCCTGACAGATGCCAGGCACCGAGCTAGGCACATAATGGGGACTAAGTCTGTGCCCCCTGCCTTCAGGGAGTGCCATCCCTAATCTATGCAGGAAAATCTGTACTTTTGGAGCATCTTTAATTAACAATTACATACGCTAAATATTAAATCTCTTTGTGAATAACCATGCCCCATTTATAGTAGGTAAAAGAGAACTATCCAAGCTGACTTAAAAGCAAAATAGCAGGAATCTGTTGGAATAAGAATTTAGTTTTGATCTTAAAATTGTTGTTGGACATGAAAAACTAATTTGCAATGTTGCTCCTCTTCCGGTGTTTATCATATCAAGGCAGGGCAGTGACATGCAGGAAAAAAAAGTAAAAGATTGTTAAAAACCAGGCCAGCCCTCTGCTGTGGCCAAGGAGTGCAGTGGAGGATGGCCCAAGTGCTTGGGCCCTGCACCCCATGGGAGACCAGGAAAAGCACCTGGCTCCTGGCTCCTGCCATCGGATCAGCGCGGTGCGCCAGCTGCGGCGGCCATTGGAGGGTGAACCAACAGCAAAGGAAGACCTTTCTCTCTGTCTCTCTCTCTCACTGTCCACTCTGCCTGTCAAAAAAAAAAAAAAAGAAAAAAAAAAAAAACCATTGAATGTTGCTGCCTACAAACACTTGAAATAAAGTATGTTTATGCTTTATGAACAAATATTAAGGTTCCACTCTGAAGAGATGATTCAGTGAAGTTCAAAACAAAGGCGACTGGGACCTAGAAAAACAATTTGGAATCGGAAGCTCAGATTAGAACAGTGGCCCTGTCACTTACTATGTGTGAACTTAGGTAAGCTGATTAACTTCCCTGAAACTTTGCTTCTCCCATTTACAAAACAAAAGCTGTCAGTATGAACCACAGTTACTTATGTCAAACTCTTAAAAAAAAAAAAAATGGAGCCTGTAACCTGAACAGCTACACAAGACTTTCCCAACCCGATCTTTGCAGTTAAGCCACTGCTACGGATATACTCTGTACTATCCCGGCCTGCAGAAAGCCCTTGTAACCAATAGTCCCTGTCTCCAGCGGTGTGTGTGGAATTCTGCACTGCAGGCTTCCCCAGCCCCTCAGCCGCATCCGCCTGGGCCCGATCCCTCCAGGCTGCAGACTTCCCAAAGGAACTGTCTGCTTCTGCAGAGTTGCTCTCGCTGTCACTCACTTTTGGCTGACAAGAGACAACACTTCCTCCACCCACAGGGTGTCTGTGCAGGTGGCACAGAGGTAGAAGTCATGCCTCCCCATCCTGTTTGCTTCTGTTTCAGAACAGAACCCCGCCACTTGTCTGTCTCAACCTTTAAATGGCCCGCCACTCTTCTGGAGCGGTCGGAGGGAGCTGGTTTAAACTGTTGCCCCAGTAGAGAAATAAAAAAAGAGTAAAATCAGTAAAGATAAGCAGAGAATGTGACAGTCTGACAAAGTTTAAATTAATGTAAATCGATACCTTATGTATAACCCGAAGTTAATTCTACCTACAACTGTAACATATGTAAAGGCAGCACTGTTTCAAATTATTTCATACTGAGATATACTTTCTCAAAGTAACAAAACGGACCAAGAACAACTATCACAAAACATGAAACTATATGTAAACTTTCTCCAACTTTCCAACCAGTTAAAAAAAAAAAAAGGCTGTCAAATATTAGCTACGGAGTGCCTGTAACATGCCTGGTGGCAACTTGCCCTATATTTACTAACACTCCAAGAGTCCTCCTAAGCCACAAGAGCGCCAGCATTCCTCCCTGGCGCTGATGAGGAGGCAGCAGCGCCGTGGCCAGAGGGCACAACCACGGTGGCAGGGCTCCCGACCAAGGGCAGAGGCGGGGCAGGACCTGGGGCTGTGGAAGCGGGAGCCTTGCTTTCCATCTCTCTGTCTGATACGACAGGGGTATCTGTCCTGCTATTTTATCCAGCTATTTTTCAATCACAGAGAAGCCTCAAAGATACACCAATCAAAGTCCTAGATGTATTAGACCAGAAATAGCAGATATTTAGAAACAGGCAGACATTCTTTTGCTTAGCTATAAATTGACAGATAAAAACAAAGAGATTAAATATAAAATAACGAGCTAACCAAAAAGGAAAGCTTAAGGCTTTCTCATAGTTCACTGCACTTCTCCACTGGGAAGCGAGTCAATGGGTATGTCAGTAGCTGTGGGGCTCCTGGCATGCAGAAGGCGTTCGGTAAATGCATGTGCCCTGAAAAAATACTGTTGAGGTCCTACTACGTATAGGAAAGAATACCTAATACAACCTGCAGTGCTTAAACTGTTTAAAGACCCTTACCGTCTTGGCTTTCCCCATACAAAATGGCAACACACAAAATGGAATTTCAAATGGACCATCAAACAAGGGGAGAAGGAGTAGGGAACAAATCATAAATAAAAACAACAAAACTTTTATTCTATTCAGTCTTGGAGAAAGTCAAGCAGAACACACTCTCATATCCTCCACAAGAGTGATCCGTAGGCCGGCGTTGCAGACTCCTACAGGATTTTGTTCTAAGTATTCCTCCCTGGCTGCTTTCGTGAC